TGTGTGTGTGTGTGTGTGTGTGTGTTCATAATTAATTTAATAAATTAAGGACATTTCTCTTTTTGTATAAAAAGTTATCAAACCATGAGACTAAAGTCTGGAGCTGAACGGTGAAGTTTGTGTATCTGCTGATCTAGCCTCACACAAGAGACACAATGTGTGTTTGAATTTACTGAGACATCAAATAAACTGTACTTGTTGTTTTTTCAGATTCGGTGCCACAGTCGGAGCAGAACCGACCCGTCCAGGAGTCCACGTCCACCAAGCCCGTGCAGAGTGTCGTCCCCGAGGCCCGCGACCCCCCCGGCTTCTCTGCGTGGAACTCCCAGACAGAAAACCTGGTGGACCTGTGGGACAGCGGCTCCGCCCCTGCCGACGACCCCGCCCGAACCACCCAGACCTCCCTGTCCTCTAACCTGGTGGACCTGATGGGAGACTCGGACGTGCTCCACGACGAGGTCCCGCCCAGCRGCGCCGCTGGCAGCGGCCGGCCTCAGCCCCTCCTCAGCTTCGACGAGATGATAGACGGCAGCTTCTGCTCGGCCACCGGTGCCGAGGACAACCCATCCAGTCTGGTGGACGTGACGGGCTCTGACCAGATGACCCTCAGCTACCAGCATGCACTGCAGCACGCCTCCGGGGACGGGCGGGACCTGGATGACGGACAGCTGCTGATGACCAACGGGGAGACGCTGCTGAAGGAAGGAACTCAGGTGAGCTGGAGTCAAACTGCTCATTTCCTGTTTCTGTTTGACTTTTGTTTTTTTTTTAAATGCATTTCTGTTTCCTGATGGTAGGCGAGTGAGGGATACTTCAGCCAATCACAGGAGGAAGAGTTCGGCCAATCAGAGGAGTCTTCAGCTAAACCAGCACCAATTTTTTATAACAAGCCACCAGGTGAGATCAGTTACTGATAAATATTTAAATTAATACATTTTCAATCAAATGCAAGGTTTATTTCAAGGGTTTAAAAAAACTGTGAGTTTTGTAAATAAAAATCTTTATAGAGGAATAAAACGAGTTAAGGTTAATGGAAGAAATGTGAAAAATAAACCAACTAAACACAACAAATTTCATCATTGATGAGCAAAATAAAATATTTCTTTTATAACATTTATGTATTTATTGGTTTACAGATGTTGTCTTTTATGCTGATTTTATCTTGTAAAATTTACAATTGTAAATAATATAGCATAAATAAGTGAGTACGGTAAATGCCTCCACACTATTTTATCTGCATGATTCTGTTAAAAAGGTATTTTTTACAAGAATCTCCAGTATTTTAGATACTTCTTTAAACGGATGTTTAATGTTTTAGAAATTTTTCAGAAAACTTGAAAATATGCATTTTTTGTGATTAAGAGTTATGAAAAAAAAAGAACTGCCATTGAGTCTGGTAGATTCCACACATTTTTCATGGTACTGTTTGTTCCTTAAATAACTATTTAGGGTGTCATGTAGTACAGTGGTTCCCAAACATTTTATACTTGTGTACCCCTGAGCCATTTTGTCACACCACTAGTACCCTTCAGTCAAACRTAATGACTATTCTCCWRAACTAYAGTGAACTACCTAGAATGGTAAAATAATGTTTCAGGACTTTAAACCATGTAAAGGACTGAAGGAACTGTCCAAGGTCCTGAAAGTGCTGGAATGTTTCARDAVTTTRRAYRDYGTGAWGGRYTGAAGGAACTGYCCAAGGTCCTGAAAGTGCTGGAATGTTTCAGGACTTTAAACAGTGTGAAGGACTGAAGGAACTGTCCAATGAACTGAAAGTGTTAAAATGTTTCAGGACTTTAGACAGTGTGGAGGACTGAAGGAACTGTCCAAGGTCCTGAAAGTGTTAAAATGTTCCAGGACTGTAGACAGTGTGAAGGACTGAAGGAACTGTCCAAGGTCCTGAAAGTGTTAAAATGTTC